TAAATTCCTGATATTCTTGGAAGGCATATATTAATAAAACCATTTTGGTTTGGCTTTTAGAATGGCTTTGGACCAAAATATCTTTGGTTGTTCTGATAAACAATAAAAGTTGAGAGAACAGAGAAAATATGACTCATTCTTGCTGATCTCTTGTAAGCATTTAATTTTACTGTCTTATAATATAGCCTCTTGAACTACAGTTAGGATAGGAATCATAAGCGCCTGGCATAGTAAAAACATATGGGAACTGTTCCATCTCCTTACCCATATTTTTAATATTTAATTGAAGATCATAAGTGATCTGAGGATAACATCTATATGAAGCTTGCCAATGCGTTAAGGATTTTAGCTGCATTCCTGATTAATTTTTTTTCATCTTTTAAATTTAGTTGACTGACTCAACCTGCAGGTCTTTACTGTGATTTAACTGTAGGTAATCTTTATGAGTGCTGACTATTCTGCTAATCTATGTTACAGTTAATTATATTTTCTGAGAGTAGCCTTTTATAATCTTTGTCTAAACTATCAGACATTCATTAAAATAAGTGAGATTTAAATCCATGTTCAAATACGTTCCTAACAATATTAAACATTCACACTTTGGTGTAGGATAAATTGGAAAAAAAAGTGTCTGGACACATGAATGTATGACTACAGTGAAATTTTAATCTGGCAGTCTTGATAAAATAGACTTATTTAATTAAATGAAAAGTCCATTCCTAAATGTGCTTGTTTAGAAAGAATTCCCTATGATTTTGTTATTTCCAAATACATTTCTCAATTGACAGAAATAGTCTTCCGTGTGCATATCTAAATAGATTGGAATCTATCAGTACAGTGGATGCTCTTGAATACAGGTGTGTGGCTGGATATTTGGTTTTAATTAATTCTGATCCTCTGATCCTTCATCTGCATTGAACAGGTAGCTGACAGTTTTCCACTAATTTCAGATGCCTATGCTTGTGCATAACACTGAAACTTGTGCAATTTTTATTGGTTCCAACATGTTCTGTACATTCTGTTACACAGAATATATATTAACTTTTAATCTTCATCAAAGACAAATGTTGTATTGTTCTTCATTTTTTTATAATACTCTGAGGCCTGCAAAGGGTTATTTGGGAAAGATTGAAATGTAAAACCTAACACAAAATTGAAAAAAGTTTTCTTATTGACCAACTTTACCAAAATGTTTTGAATTTTAAAGAACAGCTGAAGTTAATTGTGATAGAAACTGAACATGCTTCACAAAGAGGTTGGAATAAACAACTTATTAGTTTATTAAGGATGACAATGCTTAAGTGACTTATCGCTTAACATCACTCAGGCTCTTGTAATATATTTAGTCATACACATCTCAGATTTAAAAATATTATAAACTATTTCCTACACAAAGAATTTGAAGCATATGGAATTTTTTATGATTCAATCATCAGATTGAAGATAGTCCTGCTGAATTGATTCTGAATTTGAGGATCAGAATAATCCCAGTTCTACACTTACTGACTTTGTTAAGGCTTTTCTATATTAGGTTTCTTTATACATTTTATTATAAGAGACAGTCTTAATAATGATTTAAAACTGATTGGCTAAAAAACTAATTCTAAGCATCTTTCTTCATATACTCATGAACACATACTAGAAGAAACTTCATGGTAATTGCTACTACTTTTTATAATGTTAGGTATTTCTCTATTGAATTGCATATTGTAAAATGGCAAACATTCCGCACAGTTTCTTAAGCATCAGAAACTCTGAACGTAATTTGAACACAATTCAGAAAAGGACTCCAGAAATATTTTTAATGTTCTTCCCATTGCAAAGGACGAATTACTATCCCAAAAGTTATTAACAAATTTGAATTGCAGCTGAGTTAGTGAGGAACAGTTTTTCAAACCATCCTCTCACCCTTCCGTATCTTTCTCCTCTTTAGCTTTGCTTTTGCTTTTATGACACTAATGACAAAAGGCACTAGTTTCTTCCTCCTTCCCCTTTCTAATGTTAGCACAATGCTGTATCTATGTGCTGAAATGCGAGGAGTAGTGGGAATGCTGCCTCCACCAGTGCTGGGCAAATGATTTTGTTCAGTATTCTTTGGAGCCAAATAGAGCTGTATTAGCATGGACATTGGGGAAAAGAGAAGAAGCAGGAAGTAGGGGGAAGGTTTCATTCCAGTACCATAATTTCAAATGACAAAAATGGACCTGTTTTCTGAACCCAGTTTTCAACAAGATCAAGGTGGGACTGTTCCATTGAAAGCTATTAATGGCATAGATAAAATGGGTTAAGCAGCACTTTTGGACATGAGCACAGTTTTCTTGGTGCAGCTGCTGAACTTGAGTTGGTTAGGCTTAATGTAAAACCATCCTAAGACAAAATAATGAGTAGCATAATTTTGGCAGTGTTATGTTATATATTATGTACTATGATATGCACCTTATTTTGATACATTGGCATAACTTTTTGCACATTCCAGAAGGCTTTCTCAGTAAGAACCTTCTGTTTTCATTGTTACTAATTTATTCTTAACATACTAATTATAGACTGTACAGAAAACGCTACAAATGTCTTTACTTGGCTTGGTTGTTTCTAGTAGATTACTGTGCCAATTATGTACCTCTACACTATATGTTAAGCAGATGAATCTTTTTGACATTGCAGCACATTGATATTGGTAATAAAGCTCCCTCTCTGGAACTTTTGTTATTATGATTGGTCACATAGCCATCTGGATGTTTAGACTGGATTTGGTATTTGTATCCATCAAGTAGTTCCTAAGGACCTGGGATAGACAGATGTTATTGTTTGATAGTGTTAAAGGTATTGTTGCAGAATGTATTGTAAGTTGTTACAAGTAAAGCAGCCTTTTGCAATTGACTATAGTGATTTTGTCAAGGCCAGTGCTGTTCAAATGGTGTTCTAGATGTTTTGGAATTGACTCACTAATGATATCAACTTTCTTTTCTTTTGAAAGCAGAGATTATTATTATAATTATCACTAAGCATATATATCAGAAATGTTGCCCACTTTCCACATGAGCCCAAATAATTCAGTCATAATGCAGAATGATGAATGGAAAGGAAATCTAAGGATTAATACAGCTGTGTGAAGGATTAATACAGTGAATAATAGAAGCTAACTTCGGTAATCTCAAGTAGCTCAGCAACACAAAAACTGGTATGATGTAGTGATACATTATTTTGGACACATACTGTGATATGTATGTTATTTTTTATTATACTAGAATGAATTACTTTATCACGGTTCCCCCTTTTTTTGTCTTTTATTACTTTCCAGGCTTTGTGTAACTGATAGATACTCAATTATATGTAAAGTGACTATTAAAGAATCAGTAGTCATCTAGGGGTCTAGGGGTCCTCTCTTCTCTTCTCTTGAATTTGTGTTAAAACCATTAGTGTTCCAAAGAAATGTGCATTCATCAGGTATAGCAATGGAGGCCAGGGTGCATATTACAGCTTTTACTGCCTATGAGACGTTGAAGCCTTGTTCTTAAAAACTGCCAGACAGATTGGGAATCACGGTCACGGTTAATAGCAGCGAATTGCCAGTTCTTGATGGGTGGGTAGTCACTCTTCTCAGTGGCTGCCCCCTGGGGGAGAAGGTAGAAAAACAGAGGGAGGGAATTAGAGTGACTTTGCACAGTTGAGCAGGTTCATGCTGCTGGATCAGTGGCAGGCATTGGCAGGGCTCCACTCTGGGGAGGCTCTCAACAACATCACACTCTCATTTTTACCAATTGGTGTTGCTATAGCCAGTGGGAAGCAAAGAAAGGAGGGGCAATGACATGGGGGCAGAACAGAGGAAATTGTAAGGCCAGGCTAAAGTAAGCATCAGAAAGGTTATTCAGATCTAAGTAGAGTACAATATAAACTATTGTTGAAATGCTTCTAATTGTACTAATATGTTGGAATTTAACTCGAAGTATGTAATTAGGGAGTTGGCTTGCAAATTCTTTGCATTCTTCAATGGCATAAACATGGGTAAGGCTGGGAAGCAGCTGACTTGGAGCATGCAGGACATGCTTTAATTTTCCTTGCCCCACACATTCAACAAATCTGATTACCAGATCTGGATGCGAAAATTGCGGAGACCAATAGAGGGCAAAAAGAGTTAGAGTTTACAGCAGCTCTTTGTAAACAGTAAGAACTATAGTGAAGAGAAGCACAGAAAGAAGGAACAATGAAATAGGGATGATCTATTGCTTTTACATAGAAGGGTTTTGGTTTCGATCTACAATCTTAGGAAAGAAAGCTGAAATGTTTGATGTTCTTTTTTTCTCACTGTTTCCCCAGACTTTCTATTATTCCTGCCCTCTAGTTTCTTGTTTTCCTCCCTCATTTGAAAGTTCTCCATGTGGAATAACATCTGTAAACTATTAACTGTCATTTGGGAAATAAAATGATGCAATAAGAATTTTTGGAAAGCAAGTGTAACAATTTTGAAACTTGTCAGGGACTTGGCACCCAGGCCATCCTACTACTAGGGTGGTACCTCAGTGGTTTCTTTTGGGACCTAGACAACTTAGCTTAGGTGGCATCTCCTTAGGGTTTTTTTCATGGTTGTTTGGGTTTAGAATGGCTTATAATAATAATTTTGCCTAATACGATTTTGACATGCAACTTTAATGCTTAACCTTAGTACAACTCCAGAGCATCCCGTGTGCGTTCAGCTGTAAAGAGTGATGATTTAAGGGAATGATATGAAGAAAAAGGTCATTCTAGAATGAACCTTTAACAAATTGCATAAAGAAAATGTATTATCCCATAAGTAGAGGGCTGCACAGCTTTTCTGCTTTTTTTTTTTTTTTTTGCTTGATTCAGAAAGTTGTTGAGACATAAGGAAAAGAAACAAAAAAAGTGAAAATTGTAAGCAGTGAAAATTGTAAGCAGTGAAAATTCTTGTGAGGTTTCTGATTGCTATTGCTAAAGCACTCTCCAGTAACATAAGATATTTATCTTCTCTCTTTTTGGGGGTGAAGAATTCGTTCCAATAAGAAAATGCTTTTATTGGTTGGAGGGCTGCCTCCTGGACCTGACCGGCTTCCCAGCAATTTGGTTCAGTATTACGATGATGAAAAGAAGACATGGAAAATACTGACAAGTAAGCAGTTTATTTATGTTAAGTTACCTTGATGAATTTTAAAACATGGCTAATCAAATTAGGCACTTTATTGATTTGCTTCCCTGAAGAAATTTGTTTATATAGCAGTAGGATTTCACAAAGGACAAATAAATTGAGATAGAGGAAAGTAATATATTTTCTGTGAATAAGCCCAAATTAAAACTGGCTTAAAATCATTTAATAATGTTTTAGCGTAAATTTAGCAAGCTTCCTTTCTAACTTCTCTAAATAAACAGGCATTTTTAGTGCAGTGCATGTTATACATTATGGCTACTGTCCAGTAAAACTGAATTACAAGAACAGTTATTTCTGTAGGACAATTGCATATCTGTTCAAATCATAAACACTGCAGCTAATAATGTTTGGGAAGCTTGACTCTGGGTGGATTGTGTTCTAATTTATATTGTATTTTGAAATTTGTGGCACTCTATATTGCATTCTATTATGTATCTTTTACTGTGGTATGATTACTGTATTACTCTGTATGTGTGTATACTTTTATTGAGAATTTTAAACACAAGAATGAGACCAATACAAATTAAAATAGAGAGGGGGAAAGGAAAAAGAAAAACCAAAAACCACTTTTATGCTTACGCCAATGCTAGATGGGTCTGTCTTGTCTCTCTTTCTGATGTAGCCTTTAGCAATGCAGAGTATTACTTATAGTTGCCCAACTCTGTTCATCTCTTTTCTTAAAGGGCAGCTTGGTATTTTGTACCAAGAATTTTGTTCTGATATTTAGAACTTGCTGTTTTATCAATTACAATTTCCAAACTTACTTGGTTGTAGAATCAAATAAATGTTTTTTGGGGGGTTGGTTGGCTGCATTTATATATCAGTTCCTTTGTGGGTAGGTTAGCTGCATTGGTCAATAAAGCTAAATTTTTCATTGTCAGAATTGCCTAAAGCTATTCAGATAAAATTATAAATGAGCACTTTTCATCCATAAATCAGATCTATACTTTAGCAGCTGGACTAGTGAAATTTAAGACTTCTAAACTAAATGTTTTCTAGCAGTCTGATCCTAAGAGCAATTTTATCTAAAGCCATAAAAGTAGGAACTTGAAAAAAGTACAAAATTGAAAAATACTATATAGAGGCATTTACCAATATGGATTAATTGATTAATTAAGTGCCATCAAGTTAGTGTTAACTCTTAATAACAACACGGCTAGATCTTCTCCATGAAGATCTGACCCCAACCTGACATGTCAGGTATTCTAATATTATACCCATTGTGGCTGTAATCAAGTCTATCCACTGTCATCCTCTTCTCTTTCGTTCCACATTTCTCAGTATTACAGTCTCCTCCAGAGAGTGAGGTCTTCGCATAATGTGTCCAGAATATTACAATTTGAGCCAGGTTATTTGTGTCTTGAGTGAGAACTCTTGATTGGTTTGTTTGATGATGCATTTGTTTAGTTTTTTTGGGGGTGGAGGGGTATTCCTAGCATTCTCAGTAGTCTTTTTCAGTACCAGAGATAAAAAGATAAATGCTTTTTCTATCCTGCTTCTTCAAAATCCAACTTTCTGTACAGTATCTCAAGGAAAACCATTGTCTGCATGATTCTGATCTTTGTAGGTATTAGTACATCACAATTTATGAATAAATTTTCCAGGGCCTTCCTGGCTTGCTTTACCAAGTGCTGATCTAAGATATATTTTTAACAGCTTATTCTTTTTTACTATTCATGATTGATCCTAAAAAGGCAGAAGCTATGAACCACTTCAATATCATCAGTGTCAATTTAAGGGTGGTTGCTGTACTTGTCATTAGTTGGTCTTTGTACTTTTACGGTGTTCCTTGGTTCTCATTATTAGAGTTTCCGGATCATTTGCATTTCAGCTATTGGAATAGCAATATCAACATAGAGCAGGTTATTGATGTTTCTTCCTACAATTTTATAACTCCACTCATTTTCTTCCAATCTAGCTTACCTCAATATATAGTCAACATGCAGGTAGTCCTCGACTTATGATCCACAATTAGGATCAGAATTTCCATCACTAAATGAGGCAGTTGTTAAGTGAATCACCATAGTCATTAACTGAATTATATGGTCCTTAAGTGAATTTGGCTTCCCCCATTGGTTTTGCATGTGGAAGCCAGCTGGGAAGATTACAGATGGTGATCATGTATCTCCAAGATGCTGCAACTGTCATAAATATGTCTTGATTTCCAAGCACCTAAATTTTGATCACATGATTGGGGGGATGCAGTAATAATTATAAGTGTGAGGACCGATTGTAAGTCATTTTTTCAGCACTGTCCTAACAAATTGCAGTAGTTTAACCAAGGGTATGAGTCACTATCTTCAGCACCTCCTATTCCAGTAAAAAGTGCAGTTGGCTGATTCACAAAAGGTCAAATGTTCTCCTGGCCATGGCTTTCATGTGCTGTTGCAGCAGAAGATGTGAGTCCATGAGAACTCCCAGATTGTATGCCAGCTCCTTCATGGGATGTTCAGCCGTATCTGGAGTAATAGGTGGACTATCCAGAAAGTTCCTTTGCCAGCATTAATTCTGTTTTGCTGAATTCAGATTCACCTATTCACCCCCTTGTAACTTCAGGAAGTGAAGAGTTCCATTGCTATTTGGCCTGGAGTAAAGCTATAAAGTTGGATATCATCAGCATATTGATGATACTTAGCCATAAATGGATGGATGACCTATCTCAATGGTTTCATGTAGATGATAAATAAGTTGGGGAGGATGACCAATCCCTGAAGCACCTCACATTGAATTGTCCAAGGGCTTGACTTCTTCCCTCTCAATACCATTTGAAGTTCTCCATTATGGAAGGAACCACAGCAAGGCAGCCCTCATAGATGCCCAAAAGGGGTACCATGGCTGATAAAACAGAACATGGAGGCACTCTCCCCCAAGTTTAATCACAGGTCATCCACAATAGCAACCAATACAGTCTCCATCCCATCCTATAAAACTAATGGGAAGGGATCCAGATAATCCAATTTATCTAGAGTCTCTGTAGTTGAAATTAAGTTTTCACTTAACAAGAAATGATAGGTTGGAGACTGACCAATAATTATGTAACACGGTTGAGTCAAGAGTTGCCTTTTGGAGGACAAGGCACACCATTGCCTCCTTCAAGACAGATTAAAGCAACCTCTCTGCTATGTGAAAAATAAAATTTTCTCAAGTGATAGGGAAATTAAAATGCATGGTTATATTTGTTAAGTTATAAGAGCCAATTTTCTCCCCCTTTCTCTGATAACGATTGTAAAAAATGCAAAAAATTTAGCTTCAGTTTTTATTAATTTCAGCTTGCTAACTCTGAACCCAAGAAACTATCGTTAATCTTAACATTTAAAAAAAACAAAATTAAAAATGACATTTTATCAAGTCCTAGTTAAGACTTTGAGTGATACACTTATGCAGGATGCAAGAAAAGACATTTGAAAAAGTGGAGGGTATAGTTATCCTTTCTACATTCACTGTCTGCAAATTTTTCCTCCAAGCTGAACTTCCCACATTATTTTTAATCAGGACAAAAGGAGAGCTAAAATGGCCTAAAGAAGCAGTTCCTGAGAAGGCTTGGTAAACTTAAGAAGAATTATGTATTTTATGCTTGTCAGCTCTCTCTGTCATTTCCTCTCATCTAACTATTGCCATATTTGAAGTAACTGTTTCATGGACAGGGTTTTATTAACTACTTTTGCTGACAAGAACAAGGCCCCAGAAGGATATCTCTGCCATTAGCATAAAGTAATGCAATCTTTAATTAAAATATTATTTAGCTCCCAACTTCTCTTTGGGTCAATTTTATCTTCATATAGTTATGTGTATTACTCTGCCAGTTTAGAAATGTACTTTTGCTACCTTTTAAATTTGACATTGATTAATTTTATTTAATGTTGGTAAATATACTGTATTCTTTCCAGATTTAGGAATTCAAGAATATTAATTGAATATTTTCATTAATATTTTAGCAATTCAAGATATTAAGGTGATTCCAGTTTCCCGTTTTGATTCAGCAGATTAAAGCTTTTTTTTAATGTTATGATGTCACATGTAGTCTCTTCTCATTTCATCAATAGACACCTGTAGCAATAATTAATTTGGTGATGAGATTGTTATCTCATGAATAAGTTGCTAACAAAGTTTCTAATCTGTCAAAGTTTTACAGCTAGTTTTCATACTATCTTACCTAGTATCTTATCTCCCATACAAATTTATGTGAGCAACATGGAACATCACAAAATCATCTCTATCAAAGGTATCAGATACTTGGTTGATCCATAGGTAATAGTAGGATGGATTTGGGAGTAGATTTGGGGTGTAAGCTAGTCTGTAGTAGGAAGGAGAACAAAGGCAGCTTCCATTGCAGATGCAGAAACCCTTTTATATGATATTTCATGTAGCAGCTTATCAGTGTAATTTCAACAAGCAATATATATATATATAGTATGACTCAGAATTTATGTGCCTGTGAAATTGGACAGGAGTGAGGGAGCATAAACATAAAGAATTAATGATTTATTGTTTTATATAAAGATGAAAACTATGTATGGAGCACATCAAATGGAACCATGATTGAGGGTGGATGCAAGAGAGAAGAATAGTTTCCTTCCATATTTTTTTACCTCCACAGGGAAAACTAAAATTTAACTTGCTTCAGTTGACTTTATTTCATAAAGTGGTAAATATATCAGATCTTTCAGTTTCTATATAAACTATCATACTCAGTACCATGTAGAAAATTGCAGGTTGATGTCCTTATACTAGTTTTTTTGGGGGGGAAATCCTTTGTCTTGCATAATTCATAAAAAACTATGTTACTTAAGGATTTCACTCTGGTCTTTCTGTATTGCATATTTGTGTCTATACATAGTCATTTTGGGCACCTTCCACAGTTGCAAAGACTTTGGTGGGATTTAATGATCTGAAATTTTCCTCCTTTCCTATCAGTTTTCTCAGATCAGCAGCCTTTGCATATTTTCCATCAACTGTGAAGCTGA